GTCTTTGTCTGAGTAATCACTTATTATGCGTGTAAAGGGGTTAATATATATATATATATATATAGTTAATTACCTCTCCAACTGACTACAGGTGCCCTGTTACATTAGTTACTCAACTAACTACAAGGGTTTGTTTTCTATTGGGTCTCTTCCAGTCTGTGGCATTCTTGGCCCATCTGTTTCATGCGCACAAAGTGTACGGTCCGTTTTTTGGTGGTCGTGCCACTTTCCACACTCCCTGCGTGGCAAAAGGCCTTCGATGAGTGGACTCCGGACTTAAACGTAATTACGTATTTGGGGAACAAGCAAAGCCGTAAAATCATCCGCGACCACGAGTTCTACACCAGCACCGCGAACCGCAAGAAAAAATACGTATGTGGTTTAACGGAGTACGTATAGAAATACGTATGTGGTTTAACGAAGTACGTATAGAAATACGTACGTGGTTTAACGTAGTACGTATAGAAATACGTATATGGTTTAACGAAGTACGTATAGAAATACGTATATGGTTTAACGGAGTACGTATAGAAATATGTATGTGGTTTAACGGAGTACGTATAGAAATACGTATGTGGTTTAACGGAGTACGTATAGAAATACGTATGTGGTTTAACGGAGTACGTATAGAAATACGTATGTGGTTTAAGGCAGTACGTATTCTGTTGAAGGGCTGTGTGTCATATACGAGGAGGCGTTAGAGACTATCTGTGGTGTATGTGGGTGTGCCGTGAAGTGCACGTTCCCACAGTAATAAGCATACGACATCGACAATATGTACGACATTATGTATGACATTGTGTACGACATTAAGCATGACATTACGGACAACATCATGTATGACATCATGTACGACATTATGTACCACATTACGTACAACATCATGTATGACATTATATACCACATTACGTACAACATTATGTTTGGCATTATGTACCACATTACGTACAACATTATGTATGATATTATGTACCAAATTACGTACAACATTATGTATGATATTATGTACCAAATTACGTACAACATTGTGTATGACATTGTGCATAACATTATGTATGACATTTCGTACCACATTACGTACAACATTATGTATGACATGTATGGCATGTACGACTTTATGTACCATATTGTGGTGCATGTCTTTTAGGTGGTTGATTGTTATTTGTTTTTATCTGAGAGCAGAGGTATGGTCGGGGACTCTTGATAACGACATACGCACAGGGCCGACTATGAGGTCAAATGTTGATCAATACGTTAACATGATGAGCTATCATCCTCACCAACGGCATTGAAAGCACCATATGCACACCCACAGGTGAAGTTCATCAGGCTGTAAATGGCGTACGCGATCGTCACTAGCATAACTGAACCTTAAACTCTACCCCCTAGACCTTAAACCCTACACACTAGGCCGGAAAACCCATATCCCGCCATACACACCCACCTCGAGTGAAGTTCAACGTGTGACTAACGTCGTACGTCACTTACATAACTAACCCCTAAACCTTAATCCATGAATCTCTATATATCTTCTCAGGTGAAGTTTAACGTGCTACTAACGTCGTACGAGATCGTCAGCAAGGACGCCAGCGTGCTGCTGCCGTTCAAATGGGCGTCGCTGTTAGTGGACGAGGCGCACAGACTCAAGAACCACGAGAGTCAACTGCACAACGTACTAGCGTCCTTCTCCACTAACCACCGTCTGCTAGTCACAGGCACACCTCTGCAGAACTCACTCAAGGAGTTATGGGCCCTGCTCAAGTTCATCGAGCCTGGACGCTTCCCTACGTGGGAAGATTTCGAGGATGAATTCGGTGGGTTGTGCATACATATAATACCTATATATATCTATATCTATCTATATCTATCTATATCTGTCTATATCTATCTATATCTATATATATATATATATATATATATACATTATGTATGTATGTACATATGTATCTATTTATCTATGTATGCATGAAGACATATATATATATATATATATGTATGTGTGTGTGTGTGTGTATCATTTGTTTGTATATATGTATACATATGGGGTTGTAAGTATATATACTTATGTTTTCAAGGATATATATATATATATGCTATAGTTTTGTTGTGACTTTTGTGGGCGAAGGAATAGTTTGTTATAAGTTTATTTGTTGATAGATAATTTTATTGAACATATTTGGATATAAATTTGATTGGTTCGTCACTTTGTTTGTTTCTGTATATATGCGTGTGGATGAGGTGTCTGTATAACACAACAGTCGATCCACACCAACTGACAATACACCAAACACACTACAACACCAACACAACACAAACACACTACAACACAAACACACTACAACACCAGCATAACACAAACACCAACAACACTATCACAAACACAACACAAGACAAACACAACACCAACACAACACACTACAACACCAACACAATCACCAACACCAACACCAACACAAATATACCACAGGAACGGACCTTCAATCGTCAAAGATAGTCAAACTGCAAGACCAGGAGCTGAAACAACTCATGATACGCCGTGTGAAAAAGGATGTGGAGAAGTCTCTGCCCAACAAAGTGGAGCGCATTCTGAGCGTCAACATGGGATCACTACAGCGAGAGTACTACCGCCACATCATCAACAAGAATTACAGCGTACGTTGTGTGGTGCATGGGGGTGTTAGTAGTGTACATACATGGTTGAGCATATGCTCTGTAAGAATTACAGCGTACGTTTGTGTTAGTTGTGTACATACATGTATGGTTGAGCATATGCTCTGTAAGAATTACAGCGTACGTTTGTGTTAGTTGTGTACATACATGTATGGTTGAGCATATGCTCTGTAAGAATTACAGTGTACGTTTGTGTTAGTAGTGTACATACATGTATGGTTGAGCATATGCTCGGCATGAATTACAGCGTACGTTTGTGTTAGTTGTGTACATACATGTATGGATGAGAATATGCTCTGTAAGAATTACAGCGTACGTTTGTGTTAGTAGTGTACATACATGTATGGTTGAGCATATGCTTTGTAAGAATTACACCGTACGTCTGTGTGGTGCATGGGGGTGTTAGTAGTGTACATACATATATGGTTGTGAATACGCTCTGTAAGAATTACACCGTACGTCTGTGTGGTGCATGGGGGTGTTAGTAGTGTACATACATATATAGTTGAGCATATGCTCTGTAAGAATTACACCGTACGTTTGTGAGGCGCATGGGGGTGTTAGAAGTGTGCATATATATTCATGGTAAGCGCATTATGAGTGTCCACCCTAAACCCTAACACTTTAAAACCTTGGGTCGTTGTAAGTATGGGTTACTGCCTCAGTATCGATACCAATCGATAATGTCGGATAGTTGATGAGGTTGTATCTTTCCAATGAATACATAGAATATATATGTTTATATATTTATATATTCGTGTTATTTATATATTATACATTACAAATAATGATAACTGACTATATATTCGTGTTATATATATGTATATATTCGTGTTATGTATTGTATGTTTTATGTTGTATGGTTATTTATTTATATTTTATACATTGCAATTTATATGCTACACATTTGTATGTATATATATATATATATATTATATTACCGGGTTAATTCATATGCTATATGTTCATGTTTATATCACGCATTATTTTTTGTATGATATGTGTATTTATGTTAATATATTGCAATGTTATGTGTATAAATGTTGGTATGTTAAACATTACAAGTTATTTATTCTTTGTTCATGTTGTGTTTGGTGCATATACATATTTGCATTGCATTGCATTTGCTAGGTTCAATATATGCAGATGTTCATGCCTCCTGTCCGTGTCATGACTGCGTATGATCTATCTATTTCTTTTTATTCTTAATTACAGAAGCTCGTACCGATCTTATTGCCCATTGTATAGTGATGTACTATTAGAACCCTAAGACCCTACTATTAACAGTAGTCCTCAGGCACTCCATCACTTACCACCCAACATGTGCACTCGTACTATCACAGGTGTTGCGCAAAGGGAACAACCGAGGAACGCTACTCAACACAATGATAGAGATGAAGAAGTGCTGCAACCATCCATTCCTAGTCAAGGTACGGTGGCTTGCATACATCCCTTTAATGCAAGTGTGTATGAATCATACAACCATTTGAGGTAAATGTATACGAATTGTTTGTACCATACATACAACCATTCATTATAGATGTATTTTAATTGTTAGCACCATACATACGACCATTCAATATAAACGTATACGAATTGTTTGTACCATACATAGACCATTCAGTACAAATGTGTATGAATTGTTAGAACCATATATACAACCATTCACTATAAACGTATACGAATTGTTTGTACATGTGCGTGTGAACATTGAATGACATCTATTGTTTTACATTCTAATGCGTATTCATCTCATTACTTCGACAGGAACCTGAATTCGAAGACACAAACACCGGTGACATGACAGCCAGCGAACGTAACATCGACCGCCTCAACGCACTAGTCAAAAATAGTGGGAAATTAGTTTTACTGGACAAACTATTAATGCGACTTAAAGAGACGGGCCACCGCGTGCTGATTTTCTCTCAGGTAGGACCACACAGCTGTTGGGGTGGAGGGGCGAGAGAGGGCCCCACCGCTTAGACCCCTAAGAACACCCCCTACACACATCCACACACTCTATGAGGACTGCAGAGTCAGCATATACTTGTGCATACTTGCACCTCTACATAGACACGTGCGTACACATGTCCAGCGCGTGCCTATGACACACGGCCCACCCGACTTTTAGGGTTTTGGCAGGACACGCGCCCCACCCCTCTCACCCGCATATGACTCATCCTCCGACTAAAATGCCACAGATGGTGCGCATGTTAGACATCATCAGCGAGTATCTGCGGCTGCGGGGGTTCATATTCCAACGACTCGACGGGTGCACTAAGAATGAGCAGCGCAAACAGGCCATGGACCACTTCAACGCCCCCGGGTACGTGTTTATGTGTACAGGCTGTGGTGTCTATGTACACATATGCATGTACGTGCTTACGTGTGCAGGCTGTGGTGTCTATGTACACATACATGTACGTTCTTACGTGTGCAGGCTGTTGTGTCTATGTACACATGCATGTACGTGTTTACGTGTACAGACGGTTGTGTCTATGTACACATGCATGGACGTGTTTACGTGTACAGACTGTTGTGTCTATGTACACATGCATGTACGTGTTTACGTGTGCAGGCTGTTGGGTCTATGTATACATGCATGTACGTGTTTACGTGTACAGACGATTGTGGCTATGTACACATGCATGTACGTGTTACATGTGCAGGCTGTTGTTTCTATGTATACATGCATGTAGGAGGTCTGCGCGTGTGTGTGTATTGTGTGTATGTATCTCTCTCTGTGTGTGTGTGCATGTATGTATGTGTGTATGTATGTATTTATGTTTGTATGTATGTGTGCATGTGTGTATGTATGTATGTATGTAAGTATGTGTGTATTTGTCTTGTACGTGTATGTTTTGTTTTTGTATGCACATGTATGTGTATATGCGTGTGTGTCGTCATGTACATATGTGTGTGTCTGTATTTGTCATGTATGTTTATTTGCTTGAGTTCGTGGTCTGTGTGTTTATGCGTATGTGCATATGTCATATCTACTTAGCCACGTGTACGTGGTATGAAGTTCTTCTGTCTGTGATTTTATGCTACTCGCTAAACACATTTGCTTCCATTTCAGGGTTTAGGGTTCAAAATCGCTTGTACGTTTCAGCATGTCTTGAATTTAAACACATGCTCGTATCGAGGGAAAAACATACGCATACACTTACACTTACGCTTACATTTTCGAATACACTCACACACACTTTCACATGCACTTGCACCTGTGCCAATACGCTGCACCTGCACATTCGCACATGTATACATATACATATATATATACATGTACATATACATGTACATAGACATAAACATATACATATACATATACATATACATATACATATACATATACATATACATATACATATACATATACATATACATATACATATACATATACATATACATATACATATACATATACATAACATATACATATACATATACATATACATATACATATACATATACATATACATATACATATACATATACATATACATATACATATACAACCCCACCCACTAGCTTACCCATCTACACCCGTTGTTCTCCTTTGGCGTAGATCGGTGGACTTCTGCTTCATTCTTTCCACACGCGCGGGTGGTTTGGGCATCAACTTGGCCACCGCCGATACGGTGATCATCTTTGACTCTGACTGGAATCCACAGAACGATCTACAGGCAGAGGCACGGGCACACCGAATAGGACAGAAGAAGGTGGGCATTAACTACACTGTATATATATATTATATATATGTAAATATATATATATATATATATGTATATGTATGTGTGTTATATTATCCCTCAGCAAAGTCGAATGTATTTATATGCATGTATCTCTACCTCTATTGGGTGGTATTGATTCACAGGTCGTGAATATCTACCGATTGGTGACGAAAGACTCGGTGGAAGAGAATGTGTTGAAACGCGCCAAGCAGAAGCTGGTACTAGACCATGTTGTGATTCAGAGCATGGACAGCAGTGGTCATGCAGTGGTGGGCAAACGAGGCAAAGACGCTCCCAACTTCGACAAAACAGGTGCGTTATATAATTGAGTAGGTGTGTTTATATATATATTATATATATATATATATATATATATATATATATATATGTACATATATATAGATTTATATTTATATATATATGCAAGTTAGTTTTTCTGACTATATGTATATATTTGTTTGTCTATGTATGCTTTTTATGTATCTATTCATGTATGCAAGTGCGTGTGTGTGTGCGTGTGCGTGTGCGTGTCATATAGCACGTGTTCTTCCAAGGGTATCATGAGCATGGGCCAAATATAGAGAGACGGTATTTCACACCCCAGGGGGCTGTGCTGGCTTGATATATTTGGCAAGATATAATTAACTTCAACTGATTTAACGTGTTACATAATAAACGTTCTGCACCAATGGCTAAACACTTATTCTGAGCCCAGTGCTGCGGCGCGGTGTGGTGTATTGTCTTGTTGTGTTTGGTTACCGTTGACGTGACGGGTTGCCATTCCTCTCATATTCGCTTACCAAGTATATACTTGTATATACTTGTACATGGATTGCCCTTTGTACATGATATGTGTGTATAAATATATATATTGCCTGGGTTTGGGATCACAGATGTTCTTGTGACTTTGCTTGTGCTTATCACATATATGTTTGTGACCTGTTGTGCCTGTGCAGAGATCAGTCAGATGATGAAAGTGGGTGCGGAGAGTCTCTATGAAGAAGACGGCGATAGCAAGGCCACGAAGAATCTCGAGGTGAGTGTGCTGAGTGTTGTCTGGTGACATCTCGTGGTTAACGTGTTCCTAAGAATCTCGAGGTGAGTGTGCTGGGTGTTGTCTGGTGACATTTCGAGGTTAACGTATTCATTAAGAATCTCGAGATGAGTGTGCTGGTTGTCTGGTGACATCTCGTGGTTAACGTATTCACCAAGAATCTCGAGGTGAGTGTGCTGGTTGTTGCTGGTGACATATCGTGGTTAACGTATTCACCAAGAACCTCGAGGTGAGTGTGCTGGTTGTTGTCTGGTGACATCTCGTGGTTAACGTATTCACTAAGAATCTCGAGGTGAGTGTGCTGGGTGTTGTCTGATGACATCTCGTGGTTAACGCAAGTCAATATGGAGAATGCATGACCCCTTTCTGTTCCCAGGGTTGTTTGTGCTGTGTTGTTTGTGTTGTGTTGTTCGTGATGTTTGTGATGTGTTGTGTTGTGTTGTTTGTTATTGTTGTATTGTGTTATTTGTGTTGTGTTGTTTGTTTTGCTACTGTGTTTGCTATTACCATGGTGGTGTATTCATTTTCTCGTGTTTTTTTTCTCAGGAAATGGATCTGGATGCCATTCTGTCACGTGCGGATGTGTTAGCGGAAGAGGAGGACCGTTCAGCAACCGCTGAGTTCCTGTCTCAGTTCAACACAGGTGTGCTTGCGTGATTTATGGCGGATGGTTAACGCATTCACTTGTATAAGCGATGTCTACAGGTAACATGTGCACATGAGGTGGTTAAAAATAGGGATAGTATATTCACTGGGTTAAGTTAAGTTAATAGTATAGATAGAATATTTACTTGTGGTAGATGTAATGAATATGGGTAGTATTTCAATGTTTTAACCCATCTCGAAATGTCGGCTCTTACAGTGAGCTTTGTACAAGATGAGAAGGAGTGGGAAGACATTATCCCAGAACACGCCATGGACAAGATACTCGAAGACGAAAAAACCCGCCAATTCGAAGAGGAGGAAAAGGTGCGTGTGAAACTGCAGGCGGTCTTACACTCACATACATGCAAACAACCTAACTCACCCCCCCCCCCCTTCAAACGTACATATATGAATGACCTCTATATGTATGTGTGTATATATTTATATTATATATATATATATATACGTATATATATATTTATATACTGTACATATATAAATATATATAATATATTTATATATATAATATATTTATATATATATGCGTGTGCGTGCGCGTGCGCGTGCGCGTGTATATGTATGTATATGTATATGTATATTCTCATGTTCATTCTAATTCATGCCTTCATGCATGTATTTATATATATATATATATATATTCTCATGTTCATTATATTTCATGCCTTCATGCATGTATTTATAATATATATATATATATATATATGTGTGTGTGTGTGTTTGTGTGTATAATATTCTCATATATATTTTCTATTTATGTATTTATACATATATTCTCATTCCTATGTATTTATCAGGAGCGATACGCACTGATCACATTTGGATCGCGCGAGCGCAAACCAGTTGTGTATGCCGATGCACAGGCAGAGGCAGCTGTGGCAACTGTAAAGAACAAAGCCAAAGCCAAAGGTACAGTGGCTGAAGGCGTTGTGTGCATCACTTGTGAGTGTGCAGTGACTGAAGGGATTGTGTGCATCACTTGTTAGTGTGCAGTGACTGAAGGGGTTGTGTGCATCACTTGTTGGTGTGCAGTGACTGAAGGGGTTGTGTGTACCACTTGTTCTAGTGCAGTGACTGAAGGGGTTGTGTGCATCACTTGTTGGTGTACAGTGACTGAAGGGGTTGTGTGCATCGCTTGTTGGTGTACAGTGACTGAAAAGGTTGTGTGTATCACTTGTGAGTGTACAGTGACTGAAGGGGCTGTGTGCATCACTTGTGAGTGTACTTGAGTTTAGTTCTGTATCCATGGACCTGATCCCTGTCCTTTCCTTTTATTGCACCGTGCGGCCCTGTTTGAATATCCTTCGTACGCCATGTACACGCACATAAATAAGCCTATACAAATACAAACACATCTGTATTCACTCAGTCCCATCTGTACACTCACATAAATAGACACGTACATCAATAAGCCTATATCAATACAAACACATCTCTATTCACGCAGTCCCATCTGTATACTCACATAAATAAACACGTACATCAATAAGCCTATACAAATATAAACTCATCTGTAATCACGCAGTCCCATCTTTGCACTCACATAAATAAACACGTACATCAATAAGCCTATACAAATACAAACTCATCTGTATTCACTCAGTCCCATCTGTACACTCACATAAATAAACACGTACATCAATAAGCCTATACAAATACAAACTCATCTGTATTCATGCAGTCCCATCTGCACACTCACATAAATAAACACGTACATCAATAAGCCTATACAAATACAAACACATCTGTATTCACGTAGTCCCATCTGTACACCCACATAAATAAACACGTACATCAATAAGCCTATACAAATACAAACACATCTGTATTCACTAAGTCCCATCTGTACACTCGCATAGATAAAACGTACATCAATAAGCCTATACAAATATAAACTCATCTGTAATCACGCAGTCCCATCTTTGCACTCACATAAATAAACACGTACATCAATAAGCCTATACAAATACAAACACATCTGTATTCACGTAGTCCCATCTGTACACTCACATGAATAAACACGTACATAAAAAAGCCTATATCAATACAAACACATCTGTATCCACTCAGTCCCATCTGTCCACTCACATAAATAAACACGTACATCAATAAGCCTATACAAATACAAACACATCTGTATTCACTAAGTCCCATCTGTACACTCGCATAGATAAAAACGTACATAAATAAGCCTATACCATCAATAAGCCTATACAAATACAAACACATCTGTATTCACTCAGTTTGATCTTTACACTCACTAAATAGACACGTACATAATCAAGCCTATACCAATCCAAACACATCTGTGCGCATATTGTCATTCCCATCTGTGCACATATCCTTTAGACACCAAAGCACCTGCGAAGGGGTCGTTGGACTCAGAGGCCATGGAAGAAGGTGACGCCAAGAAGATGTTACGCGGCGTGCGCAAGTACCCAAATATAGTATGCCGCATAGACGACATAGCAGACGAGACCAACATGACCAACAAGAACATTGCAGGGCTGCAGGAGATGGCCCTCATGTATGTGCTAGGGCTAGGGTTATTGTTGATGTCTGGTGTTATTAATATGACTTATGTATGTGTTAGGCCTAGTGCTAGTGTTATTGTTACTGTTACTGTTGTTGTCTTGAATACGTTTTCCGTTGTATTTACATTGCTTGTGCGTGTACTGCAGATACATGGCTGGCACGAAAGCGTATCTAATTTGAATACGTTTTCCGTTGTATTGACACTGCGTGTGTGTGTACTGCATTACATGGCTGGCTCTGGCCATTGGTGAAAGCGTATCTATTTTGAATACGTTTTCCGTTGTATTTATATTGCCTGTGTGTGAACTGCAGATACATGGCTGGCTTTAGCCATTGGTGAAAGGATATCTGATTTGAATACGTTTTCCGTTGTATTTACACTGCCTGTGTGTGACTGCAGGTACATGGCTGACTTTGACCGAGTGGATGAACAGCTCAATGGAGAGCCCACAGTGACCCCGACTGCACCAAATGGGACCGATGGGGACAAAAACGCAGCTGCCCTGCCCAATGAGGGCTATCTGACGGGTGTGGGTACCCGAGTGCTTCAGGTACGTGTATATAGAAAAAAGCTCATTCAGCTGTTTATTTGTGTGAGTGCTTCAGGTGTGTGTATATGGAAGATGCTCATTCAGCTGTTTATTTGTGTGAGTGCTTCAGGTATGTGTGTATGGAAGAAAGCTCCTTCAGCTATTTATTTGTACGAGTGCGTATAGCCTCTGTCTATTCATTGTTATTGTGTGTCTAAGCGAATACGACAAGTCTTGGATTATGACATTACATCAATGTGTCTATTTAATTGCGTTTTTGCAGCAACAAATATGCTGTAAGAATTACACTGTGCCTGTACTTTTAAACATAGTCAATTGATTACGTTTATGCAGCAACATATGTGCTGTAAGTATTGCACTGTGACTGTACTTCTAAACGTATACTATTATTTACGTTTATACAGGAATTGGGCCGAAGGGATCGCGACAGCTGTCTGTTGGGCCAACGTCTGTCCAACTTCCAACGCTTTAGACTGCACAACATGAGGGGCGTTCAGGTAGGCAAAGTGTCTAATCGGATGTACGTAAACACATGTGGACGGCTTGCTCTGCTACGTAATTGTCGGCGTATGTGTACGTTTTCTTCTGTATGTAAATTTACCTGTATTTGTCTACATATGACCAGATACCAGTAAACATACATACCCGGTTACAAGCACGTACCTAGCTACAGCTGTATATTAGGTCTAGTCCTGCTGGCTTCTGTCTGTTGTATGCAGTATTGTACTGGTCCTGCTAGTAACCTCTACGTGTGGTATAAGCGTAGCTCATCCTGTGCATCTGCTGTGTATTGTATTGTGCATTGATTCATTTAGATGTGATGTTGAGTCTTTCTATCACCTCCTTCAGCGTACAATCAAATGTCTGTGTGTGTTTCGAGTAGTTGCATTTGTACATGTATGTGTATATGCTTGTTGTGTTGTGTTCTATTTGTACATGTATGTCGAATTCATTTCTTTGTGTATGTTCATATGTCGGATTCATCTCTTTGTGTATGTTTGTATGCATGTCGTATTGATATATTTTATGGGTGTTTACTTCGTATTGGTGTTGCTTGGGTTGGTTTATACCGTATTGACTATAGCTGTATACGTGTCTATGTTGTACGTCTGCTCGCTTTCGCTTCCTATAACTACTCAATTTCAGCCAAATGTACTTGTACTCAACATGTACCTATCAGAATAATAGCTTAGTTACCGATTGATGTGCATCGTGTCTACCAACACACCACCGGTCTTTAAAACCCTTCTCAAACCCTAAACCCCTAAACCTCAAAACCCTGTGTATCCATCGAAATAAACATGCAGAAATGGAATTGCAAATGGGGAGTGGCTGACGACGCGCGGCTGATGTTTGGGGTCTACAAATGGGGCTTTAACAATTGGGAAACCATCAAAGACGATCCCGAGTGCGAGGTTAGCATGAGCAAGCAATCATCTGACACCTTATCAGCCCTTGACTGATCCTAGAACTACTGCCACCACTTGAACTATTCCTGAAAATACTAGCACCATACGCAACTAACCTAGAATATTTGCATTACAAGCGATTAATCCTAAAATAATGTCACCACACGCAACTAATTCTAAAAAATATTAGCACCATACGCAACTAGTCCGAAAATATTTGCATTACAAGCGATTAATCCTAAAATAGTGTCTCACTCGCAACGAGTCCTAAAAATATTAGCACTGTACGCAACCAATTCTAAAAATATTAGCACCATACGCTCAGGCGGATGTGTCTTCGCGTGCATTGCTTCGTTGTGTTTGTGTGTGATTAACTGTGTGGATGGTCTATCATTCCGTTTTCATGTGAAGTACTGAGCAGTGGCTTGTAATACTGTGGTTGTTTGGTCGACTGAGATATATCTACATAAACAAGTGTGCGGTATAAGTCGGTAGCCTTGTACTTTCTTCATAAATTCCTGCGTAGTATATTTGTGTATATATGTATATATATGTATGTATGTACATGTATGTGTTTGTGTATATCTATATCTATATCTATATCTATATCTATATCTATATCTATATCTATATCTATATCTATATCTATATCTATATCTATATCTATATGTATATGTATATGTATATGTATATGTATATGTATATGTATATGTATGTATATATATATCTATATCTATATATCCATATATGTACTTTCTGCATTTATTCCTGTGTATTATATATACATCCATGCATGTATAGTTTATGTGCATAGGTTAACCGGACGGTAGCACGAACAATCGCACCCAGATCCGCTCATTTTGGGACCCATTTGCACCTGTACAGATGGCTGACAAGGTGTTGCAAGACGATGTACCGCCTCAAACGAGTCACCTGCAGCAACGGGGAATGTCTCTGCTCAAACATCTGTCGCACACACAGACGAAGCCTCAGGTGAAGACCACCACTACAGCCACAGCAAAGTATGTAGGAATGCCGGTAGGGGTATAGGGAGAGTCTGTCGATGTAGTGAATGAAGAATGGGATGCATGTGTGTAGAAGTACGGGAATAGTATACACATACAGTAGATGAAGTATAGATATTTGGCATAGGTATAGGGATAGTATACATATATAGTAGATGAAGTATAGATATTTGGCATCCGAGCGCTTACTTTGGTCACTGCCCTTGTGGCTGTATTGGTAGTAAGTATGTGCCTACACTGGTTCGGCATTGCTCTGACCACCCAAATCTCAATTTTCATTTTGGAAACGAATCCCTTTGAAGGAGCAAAAAAACGGTTAAGAAGACAGTCTCACGAACAAGCAGCACTATGCCAGACGATAAAGAAGTTGAATTCATAGCGGAGGTATGTTGTGGTCTCTTATCTATATAGATATTATTTGTATGTTTGCATATCTGTATCGGTATCGGTATCGGTATCGGTATCGGTATCGGTATCGGTATCGGTATCGGTATCGGTATCGGTATCGGTATCGGTATCGGTATCGGTATCGGTATCGGTATCGGTATCGGTATCTGTATCTGTATCTGTATCTGTATCTGTATCTGTATCTGTATCTGTATCTGTATCTGTATATATATATATAAGGGTGTGGGTGTGGGTGTGGGGACCCCACAATTGCAGTCAGGGAATACATCATGTATCGCATAATAGCCTGTTGTGTTTGTGGCAGATGTCCTGAGTCCATTTCGGGTTGACCAGTCATTTATAATGTCCATTACAATTGGCCTAATTAACATTCAGTAGCTCAGTTGACAATAACCGTGACATGTTTTAGGGTTTAGGGTTTAACATGTATGCTACTGTGATTCTATATCCTACGTACGTGTTTGTAAAAAACCTTTTAAACCCTAAAACCCTACTAAGCGCAAGGTCGCGTAATAGGATTAAGGAAACATCCACTTACGCGTTGAATTCAAGGCAAGCAAAACCACACACGTACATCTAATATACATGTTAGGATTAGGGGCAAAGGTATTGTGTGCGTAGTCTGGACCACAGAACATATGACGCGGTGTCTGACACCTGGATCAGAGACATGTACACGTCCACTCTCTATGTAAAACACAACCGCTTGTTTACAAGCGGGTAGTCACAAAGTAGGTAGTCACGTGTGCCTCTGCAACACCCCCCGTCCAGTGCAAGAAAACCATGTACGACGTACGCAAGCACCTCAAAGCCATGGGCAAACTTAGTGCCAAGGCCACTCACAGTGTCGATCTCTCCAAGGATCCTGAGCTCATCAAGGTATGGCTGTGGCTGTATTTGTTGTACACGTTCCTCTTGGTGGGATTGTGCGGCTAATAGGACATTCTCCGTTGATGCAATGTGTGTACTTCGTATGTTTCAGCCATGCTAATATTGTTTGTATATATAAATATATATTTATACTGAAACATTTATATTTATATTTACATATATATATATATACTGTAAATACGTTGTATTTTTCTCTATCTCGGAGAATTTGTATAATTTTATGAATGTATCTACATGATTGTTATATATATATATATATATATATATATATATATGTGTGTGTGTGTGTGTATGTATATATATTATTTATATTTATATTTATATTTTTATTTATATTTATACTTATATTTATATATATATTTATATACATGTGTGTGTGTGTGTGTGTACTGTGAATTACGTTTTATCATTCTCCTCTATCTCGGGGAATTTGCATACATTCATGAGTGTATATACATGATTGTTCACTATTGTCTGCTAACATGACATAAATTGCAATACTCTTCTCTCGCCGTATGTAGTACATAACATGAAGCTCATACCACACATATATGTGTGTACCCGTAGATCTCCCTATACAATACTGCATACACATAAACCTTAATTGATACGTCCCACCCCCTGCCCACTCACAGCACCTACTTGTAGTAGGAGACCACATCACACGTGTGGTTAGCGCCATCAGCTCAGAAGCCGACCGAGCCACTACTACGCAGCGGCTGTGGACATTCTCAGCCAACTACCACCCCATCGAAGACCCCAAGAAACTCCAAGACTACTATATGCGAAAGGTATGGCACACGTGTACACGCGCATGCACCTGTTACTACCATTTCGGACTGTTGTACTGTTCTAAACCCCGTTCATGCGCTTACTCCACTGCTCTTCTAAACCCCGTTCATGCGCTTACACTTACTCCACTGTTCTATTTGAAGGGATTGTGCTTGTCCGGTTATGTTTGTTCCGGTTATGTTTGTTAAGTTCTTATTCACAGGTCTGACCTGTCTGAATCTTTTTTAATTTTGCCCCGTCGCAGTCCGGAAAATCGAAGGTCAGGTCGGACTCCACTTCCATATCAAAGTCCAAATCAAAATCCAAGGACAAGTCACGAGGAACAGATGACTACCAACCCCACAAGCAATCACCACAGGCCAAACAAACGGCACACGCCACAATAACAGCCGACTCGCACGCGGCAGACAACGAGCACAGTGCCAAGAGAAGCAGGAGCAGAGACAGGAGTCGCAGTGTGGACCGGAGCAGGAGTAGGAGCAGAGAGCGACACCGGAGTAAAAGGAGTCGGAGCAGGGCAGGGAGCACGCTGCGGAGTAGGAGCACGAGCAGAGACCGATACGCTACTACTAGCAATGCCAGAGACTCGACCAGGGCTCACACAGATGCACAGCATAGGCACTCACGCTCACCGCCACGCCGAAATTTGCGTTCACGTTCACGTTCACGTTCACGTTCGCGTGCTCGTACACATTCCAGGTCACGCTCACGGGATAGAGCCAACTACAGATCAGCACGCGATGGAGAAGGAGACGCTGAGAAACACGCCAGCGACGCGGAAAGAAGCGCGAAGCACCTGTCAGACGACGACATGGACATCAGCGACAGAGACGGTGAGGATGTAGCCTATGACACGGCACAAGACACTCAAGACACACAGCACACACAACACACACAGCAGGATAGTGCTACGAGTGCACGAGAACACAGCCACTCGCCAAGTGGCGCACAAGCACAAGCACGCCACGACAGTGACCATGACAAACACGCAGACAGTGAGGTTGATGCGGCTAATAAGTGGAGCAGACAGAGGGAAGGGAGTGCACATCCACGTGAGAGTGGGGAGGAAAGCGATGGTCACCACACACACACTGACCAGGGCCACTCGCCCACACACACGCACTCACCATCGCACACACGTGCACGTGAACGCTCATACAGCCGCAGCCCACGAGCGGCTCAGGAGCGTGCAGCCTCACGCAGTCCCCAGAAACGTCGCATCACGCTCAGCCCCGAACTTCGGGGCGGGAGTCCTCCGCCAATCAGATCGCAAGAAAGTCCGGGCCGACCCAGGCGCAGACACGGGCACAGTCGCAGCCTCAGCCCCTCCAAGCCACACCGTAACAGCAGCCCTGCCAAGCACGGGACAGGCACTGACAGACTACGCGACACCTCACGAGAACGGGGGAGGTCTAGAGAACGGGACAGATCCTTGTCCAAAGAAAGGGACTGGGACAGGGCAGGAGAACGATCCAGAGACAGGAAGAGAGGGGACTCCCACAAACCACACAGTCACAGGAGACCGTCGTCCATCGACCGCGATAGAAATTCTGCCGAAAGTGGTAAGTGATACGTACTCTATCTGTATAAAAGCAATATATACTCTACCTAAATATAAACAATATATACTCTATCTAAATACAAGCAATATATACTCTATCTAGATATAAGCAATACATACTCTATCTAAATGTAAGCAATACATACTCTATCTAAATATAAGCAATACATACTCTATCTAAATGTAAGCAATACATACTCTATCTAAATATAAGCAATACATACTCTATCTAAATGTAAGCAATACATACTCTATCTAAATGTAAGCAATACATACTCTATCTAAATATAAGCAATACATACTCTATCTAAATGTAAGCAATACATACTCTATCTAAATGTAAGCAATACATAGTCTATCTAGATATAAGCAATACATACTCTTATCTAAACATCTGTGTATATCCCTTGCGCTTGTTTATTACCCGTGCACACTCGATCATACGCGTACTCACACGCATCACACTGTTTAATATACGTACTCGCAATCAACATACGTGCTCACACTATAATATACGTACTCGCACGCGTTAATATATGTACTCACTTTACTTTTATTATATGTACTCCCTCTCGTTAATATGTGTACTCGCACTATTTAATATACGTACTCCGTTAATACACCCACTACCAGGCGGAAATAATCGATCACCCGCGAAGGCGTCATCGGCGCGTCTGGCAGTGCGCAGTAGCAACAGCTACCGAAACACACACACCTCAGGTACACGCTCACGCTCACGCTCACGCTCACGCTCACGCATGCCAAAGCGGGACGGAAAGCGGGACGACCACCGGTACAAGGAGCAAGGCAGGAGCAGCGACAGAGCACCCGATGCGAAGGGTGAGGAGAGCATCGACAGAGACAGAGACGATAACAAGGGAAGTGTGCACGACAACACGACCACCAGTAGTCGGCCGAGCGAACGCGGTAGGGAACGCGAGAGAGAGAGGGACAGGGACAGGGATTACACGCGGGAGAAAGGCCACAGGCGTAGAGACTCGGACGCACACCGGATCAGGCATCGCACCAGTGGGACGAGCCATGACTGCTGAGCGAGACGGGTTGGGGGTGGGGGGGGGTTATACGCGAAGAGTGTTGCCTCTCGTAGTACGTTGGGATGTATCAGAGAGAAGCTGTTCACCTCTTCAATTGTACATTATGCTCGTCCAAAGTAGGCTGCGGTTGTTCGGTGCACACAATGTATGTGTGGTCGTGGGTAGGCACGCGGGGGTAGTCACAAGGTCGCGGCATGTGGACGGTGTCTGCTACGCTTAACTGGGCATCGCAGCTAGCAGATGATTCGATATACATAAGCGCATTACGATTGACGGGAAGAAGTGTTTAGGGCAAGTATGTAGTCGCACGCCATGGGCTGTGTGTGCATTGCAGAACAGACAACGTGTGCTATAGCCTCGGGCAGTATCTCTTAACGCACACACACAGCAAAACCGTACATCACATACAACCACCGAACCACACGCAGACTATCACATTGTGAATCCCTCGTTCGCGAGCTATTGGGGTGTTGTTGACACAGGTTAGTGTGCTGTGGACACCCTTCTGGTACTTTCACGGCTGTTTAAACGTAATAGGCACGTTTACTTCAGCACCGTCTGATGTGTCTTGGGAGTATGACCGTCAGACGAGTTGTCGTGTCATGTCGTTCTCATGGCGAACGTTAAGCGTGTGAGAATCTCAGCTCACAACTATCACTCGCCCGGCTCAGCTATATCCGCGGCATGTTGTGTTGTGTGTATCTGCTTACTTGCCAATTGCCGTATATGTCATGGTCTTGCAAATGCATGGGTTATACATGGGAAGGCGAGATGAGAGACATTGGACTACGGTAGTTCAGAGCATTTGATCGCATACTCTGCCTCACCGCTTTACTGTACACCTGGCCAATAGGACCTCCGGAAGACACACAGCACACTTGAATCCGATATGTCGAAACCCGCCACCGGCGCTACATACAGTGATTGTAGGACACCAACTGAATACAAACGTAGTAAATTCAAAATAGTCTCAATTATATATATATATATATATCTATATATATATATATCTATATGTTTCTATTTCTTTTTCTATTTGTACCTATATGTATACATATATATATGTGTGTGTGTGTGTTATATTATATATTATATATATATAGTATGCAAATGTATAGCGGTCGAATGTGTAGTATCGGTACCCTTTGCGTGGACACGATAGAGCTCAGGACACCACCAGTCTTTGATCACAGTGTTGGCGGTATTAGCTGTGATTGTACTGGGTTTTTTATTGCTGACCAATGCTACCTGAATTGGAAAGTTTGGCTTTTTGGCGCCAAATATTCTTAGGTCTCTTGGCTGTGCTGTTTGTTTGACTTCGGCTGAATTTTGAAAAACGGACAGAAATACAATATATTATTTATTACATATTCCGGAGTTTTTTTTTGTTTTTTTGTTTTTTTATAACAAAGAAACAAAATTCACAAACGTAATGTTTTTCACTACAGTCCTTATGTGTAATACTTTCTGTGTATTTTCAAACATAGCCTTCTGGAATTATTATACAGTATTTTCAGAAACAGTATTTTATAAAAAAGAAGTATTTACATATATATAAAACACGTCATCATGACTATCAGTTGACCATAGGGATTTGGCTACAGAGCCATGGGCCCACGGGGCCATGCAACTATTTCCTCACAAGGCATGTCGTTTCTATCGAATGTTCTATTAATTTTATTTTTGACTCTTTGTTCTAAAAACAATTATTTTTAAAAGTAGTGATAATACATATTTGCATACTATAGACAGATAAAATATATTGATAAAAACCAAGAGACCTGAAAACAAAAACAAGACAAAATATATCGTTGAGTCGTTGTGGTTTAAGTGGTTTCAGGTTTTTCAACTGGAAGATCACAGAGCTTTTCGTGCGAATTCGAAAGGTCAGTGGCTTTTCCACCAGTAGGAATGGGGTAATCTGATTTCTAACATATTCTGAGACATCTGGAGCCATTTGATTGATCCAAAGCCAACAGTAATGGGCACCAGAAAATAAATTTTAACCTCGGCTGGCAACTGTCACATATATAAGAGACTTGTGAGTAAACAGTGCGTTGTGCAGAATATATCGAATACTTTGCTACAAGCTGATATTAGCAATATAGCTACTTATTTACCACTGTAAGTGAGAGGTATACTTGCTAACGTACACGTTCTACGCGATATATCACAGTCAAGAGGTATTGTATAGTACGGTGTGAGAGACTCACCTCAACTCTACTGCAAATCACGTCTACCAGTTACGGTAGAGACCCCGAACACAACGAACCTTGTCCCCTAGTTACCGTTGCTAGCTAGCACAGCGACACGTCTACCAAGCCGTAAAACTTTTACAAAGTCATAACACGATGAGCAACGATTCATTCACTGACCTCTCGTCCATTCCCTCGACTGTGCCTGTGCCCTATGCCAAGTTGAAGGGACATGTTTCCTTTGCTGATCGCATTCCGGGGCTGTCTCTGTCGAGTTTCAAGGAGTACGACATTCACGAGCCGCCTAACCAGTGCAATAGGAAGGCGTTTATGAGCTACAATTACAAGGGAGAGAATGACATGGGTTTCACTGTCGATGACTTGCCGGCAGATGAGGGCTCGGATGGGTCTGCGCTGGGCACGCACATGTTGGGACCAATTGTGGACGAGGTTTTGGCACCTAAGATCAGTAACCTTCGACTAACAAACAAAAATGAGCGCACCCAGAGCACCAGACTGGACAGTTGCGTGTCTGATAGTACTGGTGATAGCACGGTGAATCGGCGAGGCACTTGCCATGACGCGTATACCAGACAGAACCACCTACAGGCGGACAGCAACTCATCACCGGTGCTACATCTGGTACGGGCCAGGTCAGAGCCAAAGCCGTTCGCAAACATGGACAACGACGAGCTGGGGTGTCTAAGTAGCAGTGACCACACGCTCAAGATATTAACTAGGCCACGGGATGATAGTAATGCCCCTGTCACTATATGTGTGGTGCGCTATGACCCCAGAGCCAGAGAACTTACCGGGACCATTGCGGTGCACAATATAGCGTTTGAGAAACGTGTGTTTGTGAAGCACACGTGTGATAATTGGCAGACGTTTACGGAAACAAATGCGAGGTATGTGTGGAGTAGAAGCTCGCCTCCAGAATCGACAACCTTTAGTGTGGATGTGGACATGTTTGCGTTTACTGTGCCGATTGGCCACGACTGTCTGCGGGAGACGGGTCGCGTGGTTGAGTTTATTGTGGGGTACACTTACCGCAATAAGGGACAGGGCACAACTGTATGGGACAATAACGCCGGGCACAACTACAGAGCGGGTGTAGTCACCTTAGCAGACGCGCACTTGCCTAAGTTCATCACGTCTGAGCTAAATGAAACACACGAGCACACCCATACCCACCCATCGCCGCTGCAAGGTTTTGCATCAGACGCTAACAGTAGTGAGACAGGAAGTGCTCTGAAGAGCCGACATAGCAGCGCTAGTTTGCTGGCCGCACCCACCCAGTCTCAGGCGAGTACTGGCCCGGCCAATGCGTCTGTACTGTGCAGTGACAACCCACCGTACCTACACCGCGACGCCACGCACAGGTACAGTCACACACAGCCGCCTATGAACAAGAGTGTTGCACTGGAGACCCATACCATCACAGCCAACAAATCACGCAAAGGCCCAGCGGACGTGCCCAGTTACTTGCCCCCCTTTTCAATCGAGTGCAGGAATGAAGAGGGTATAGTAGACCAAACCACACAGAATAGACAAGGGAAAGTGTACCAAACCACACAGAATAGACAAGCATCATCTGTCCCCAGCTACTTGCCGCCGTTAATGCCCATGCCCAAGTCGCCTATAAGAAGTTATATCCCACCTATGGCAGAGTAAAATACAACGTACAGTTAAATACTATTGAGTATATTTGTCTAAATGGAAGCAGAGTTAGTTGATGTGCATATGATTCGTATTTGTGTGTATGTATATGTGTATGTATGTATGGTGATATATGTATATATATATATATATATAGCTACTTCTATAGAATTACTATAAATACTGTCATGACACTAATGTTCATATATGCATATGCATCTAGATATAAACATACCCACACCAACATATACATGAATTAATGTTTCTATGTTTGCTTATCAAATACTTGTATACATATTTATATACATATATATAGGAGTGTGTGAGTAAAGATCTT